AATGGTCTTTTAATAGAAGAAACATGAATTGAGAATATGAATGCAAAATTCAGGTAATAATTTTTCTTTCTTTCTTTCTTTCTTTCTTTCTTTTTTTTTTTTGGTAAATTAGCCTGCTGTCAAAGAATGAGTCAGTAACAGAAATGTAAAACTTTGAAAGGTTGTCCGGTTCAACCTTTGAAACAATGTATTCAATTGAACAATGCTGTGGAAAACTCCCTTACCCTCACTTGTTCCAAAAAGTATTTAGGGTGGAATATATACAATATGTTCTGAGCCAAGTGAAACAAAAAGCACAGAAAAAAAGCACCAGAAAAAAATATGCTACAAGTCAAAAACTGTTTGTCTTGCAGTGGTAGAATGATCAGTGACTTTTTTCTACCTTTCTATATTTTTTAATATCTCTTTATTTTCCAGATTGGGCATTTATAACTTTTATAATCACGAAGGAAAAGAAGGAAGAGAAACTATGCTTATTTACTCATTTATATACCAAACTTTTGGGGAGTGTCATGCTTGATGATAGAGGAGACGTAGAGCAATTGTAAACTAAATTCTGGAACCACCTCCGACAGAGTCTCCTGGGAAGCTCGTATGCGGAAATCATGGATTTCCAGACACCACTCTAGACCAAGCTGATTCTTCTCCTCTGGAGCGGGTCTCAGGAAGTCACATATCAGAATCAGCCCCGGGGGATTCTTTGGCATACTAGTTTGAGAAACTCTGCTCTTGAGACACATTGCAGGAACTTCCACACCTGACTGATGTGGAAGGCTTCGCTAAGCTGAGACTTAGAGGAGAAGTCGTTTGTCAGGTGGAAGTGACACAAGAGAAGAAGGACAGGATGACCCTCTCCTCCGATTCCTCTAGCTTAGCGTTTCTCAATTCTGGCAGTCCATTATAATCCTCTAGGATTTGGCTCCTCAAGGAAGCAATGCATCAGCATCAGTTGGGAGCTTGTTCAAAATGCAGATCTTAAAGCCACAGCCTGGACCTATTGAGTATGGATCTGCATTTTAACAAGATTCCTGGATAACTTGTACGCCTGTTAAATTTAGAGAACCACATTGGAGGAGCGTCCTCAATTAGGGCTTCTGAAATGGATACCTTTCATTAACTTGACCTTCAGGTAGCATATTTTACCTGTCTTCACTCCTCAATTTGTATGTGTATTGAGTAGAGTTTGTTTCTCCATGCTTTGAATAATGCTTAAACTCACCATAATCCTATCACTTAAACAGTTATATAGAATAGTAAATGAAAGTGCCTTGTCCCTAAAGTAATTGACAATTGGTATTAAGTATTCTTGAACTTTCTCCTGAATTTAAGGAAACATACATTAATTCCTTTCCATATTGGGTCCTTTGCACACACTATTCCTCATGCCTGAAAGTCTCCTCTCACTATTCACTTGAACTCCAATTCAAGCTTCAGGTCTCATGTTAAAAAGTCATTTTCGTAGAAAAAATTGTGATCTCCTCCACACTAGGTCAGTTTCCCCAGTATATGCTTGTATGTTTTTAATTAATAGAAAATTTTTATTTTACTCTTTTGGCTAGCCAATAATTTAAGAATTTCCTACAATACTGTTGACCAAATGGGGGCATAGTTTTAAAGACCTTTAATACACAATGCAGTAAAGCAGTCATCAGTAACTGATACAAGATGTAAGCAGAGCCTAAGCATTGCCATACATAGAGTTTTGTTGCATAACTGAAAGAAAGAATGAATTTCATCTCAGATTGGGGATTGAGGTAGCAAATCATAAAATTAGGAACACTTTCTATTAGATGAAAAATCATTTCTAGCTCAAATTTTTTGGTAATTTAAAAAAGTCCTTATAAAATTTCTTTTGCTTCAGTGTAAAGCGTTGGAGTCATGAATCTTTTCTCTACATAATTTCAAATTCCTGTTGTGAACAATGTTTATTGTCTTTACCATCCAACAAATATGTTGGTACTCAATATCGCCAACAAATATGATATTTTGTGGTTTAAAATTCTTTGGTCATTATCATAGTACTGTTTACCTGGACTCACAGGAGTTTACTACCAACTGTTTACACTTGCTTCATGTTCACCCATATCTTCTCCATGTATTTTTTTTTATCCCAACCGAATCAAATTAATTTAGAAACTATTTTAGTCACCTTACACCCATTTAAAATAAATATACAAGTCAAGCATGCCAAATGTTTCCTCCTGGGCATAGTTTGGATTGTATAAGCATAAATTATATCAAATTTTAAAATTTCTATAAAAAATGGGTTGCTACACAATCAGGCAAGTGCTAAGGTGATTTTTGGAACCATTCCCTGCTGAATATTTTATAATTTTCATGCTGGTTTCTCATTTTCCCACAACCTTTAAATGTTTGATTTTAAAATGCATCTTCTCTTTCCCTCACTTTTAAGTTTTTGGAGAGTCTCAGACTAGTTTGTGTTGCATGTTTTCTGCATATAGACACTAAATTTTATAGAGCTTATTCATTTTTCCAATTTTTCCCATAACACAAAGCAAATAATCAGTTAATATTATGGTCAGCACTCACTTCTGGCAGTGATGGGTTATGACTGGACGCAAGAGACACTTTCCTAAGACTCTCAAGCTCCTCCTCAAAAGTGCTGGGGGGGCCCGGCCTGGTGGCACAGAGGTTAAGTGCACATGTTCTGCTTCGGCAGCCCAGGGTTCACCGGTCGGATCCCTGGTGTCGACATGGCACCACTTGGCAAGCCATGCTGTGGCAGGCGTCCCACATATAAAGTAGAGGAAGATGGGCACGGATGTTAGCTCAGGGCCAGGCTTCCTCAGCAAAAAGAGGAGGATTGACAGCAGATGTTAGCTCAGGGCTGATCTTCCTCAAAAAAAGTATGTGGGCTACAAGGCAGTGATGAGAAATGCGAATGCTTTCATAGCATTACATGCCACAAGCCACACATTCTGTGATATGAAGAACCACGTGTGCTAGCAGGTGCTTAGTAAGTATTTGTTAAATGTTAGTTAATTCTCTGTTGCAAGAGACATCATTCAAGACACATCCAATAAACCAACTTTGTTAATTATAGCATTCAGTTCCTCTATCTCTTTTTATTTGGTTTGATTTTTGGCTATGCAGTCAAAGTCTCTGTTAAAATCTTTCACCACAGTTGTGTTCCATTGAGTTTGGCAACTTTTCCTTAATCTCCAACGAGGTTCCTGGCTTTGTGAACCTTACGTTCTAATCAGGCTATTTCTCAATAAAAAGTAAGCAAAACACAAAAATGTATTTGGTAGTGGTAAGGGCTATATTTTCATCATAAATTTTATCTTCAATCAATATAAAAATATAATCCTCTTAGTTTTTTGTAATAATTTCCACTTAAATCTTTTTTTAAACTATCATGGCAATTCCTAATTCTAATTGTTAGCATGTGCCTAGCACAACTCAGTCCATCTTTTATTTTTAAAGTTTTTGTTATATTTTATTTTGAGATTCTGTGACTTTTAACAGGAGACAATTCCATTCATATTTGTTATTGCAAATGACATATGCACTTATTTAAATAAGTATACAGGTTTTTTTATATTACTGATTTATTTGGGGGAAAACTAGAACATTCAAGGAATACACAAGTTAAAGTAGCCTGGAAAGGAGATTACAAATGAAGAGGTAGGATATGAAGGAACCAAGGGAAAAGCATTTGGTCAAAAGGTGAAAGATGATCAACAAGCTCAAAAAGCTACAGAGAAATCAAGTTAAGTGATTGACAGCTCCTAAGTCAATAATGGCCTTACATTTTCAGCAAGTTGGGGAAAGAATGGGAGGTAAAATCAAGGGCAAAAAAATGCGTACTATCTTCTTTAAGAGGTTTTGCTCTTCTCCCTCTCACTTCATATTCTACTCTGTTCATTTCCCTTCTCTTTCCCTCCACCCTTCATTCTCCCTATCCTCAGACACGCACAATTATCGACAGTTGCATTAAGAGGACCCTGGGCATACCACAGACAACCACTCTCGTAAAACCTCTATGCCTGATCATGTGAGCTCATCCTCCAGAAGGGCATTCTCTGCACATGCCACTGTCATTCAGCCAAAACACAGCGATCCCAACAGTCACAGGCCCGTGGAATTGTGCCATCTACTCTCAGGAGCTGATTTTCCAAACTCGGATGTGTTTATTCCAGGTTTTACATGCTGCATTCCAGGATTTGAAAATTGGTTTTTAGTGCCGTGGACTCTTTTATGTTCTCGTTTGCTCTGCTCAGTCATCGCTACAGGAATGTAGCCTCTGGGGGAAGACTTTGCTTAAACAGACACTTAGTGTGATTCTTTGACTAGAGCCCAGCCCTAAATTAAACTGAAATTCCACTGACTGCAAAGTGAAGAAACAGATCAGTAGTACTTATTTGCTAAGTAATTCCTCCTTTCAATTGTTTTCATTGCTTTTAAAGAAACAGTAGCATTTCTTACTTGAAAATTGCGTTAATATCTAATGTTGCCTGCCAATCTGTAGTCTTGTGGCCAAGCTAAGTTTGTATAGTGGAAGGAACGTGGATGGGGATGCAGACGATTTAAGTTCAGGTCCCAACTGCACCTCTTTCTAGTTGAGTAAACTTGGGCATCCCGTTCAATCCTCTGGGCTTCAGTTTCTTACGTCTTCAACTATCAAGCATAAATAGCATCTGCAGAATTGAATTAACTGAGATAGTGTGACATATTTGTTTACTTCAAACAGATAAAAGAAAATTATATATTATTAGGAGAGGCAGTATGGCATTGCAGAGTTAGAACCAATCAAATCTGTATGCAAATCGCCACATCACCATTTATCAGCTCTATGAATCTGAGCAAAACATTTAACCTCTCTGGGCCATCATTTTCTCAGATCTGTAAAACAGAGAAAATACTAGCTAACCTAATATTTGTTGTGAGGATTCATAATCTTGTATGTAAAATATTTAATCAAATCTAGTATATAGAAGATGCTCAATAAATATTATATATTCTTTATTTCATTATTACTTCTACAACTGGGAATATCCCTTTTTTTTTTTGAGTGATAAAAACCATTTTCATGAGGAAATATTTTTGTCTACAAGCTAGCTGAAGAATGAGAGGACTAAAAACGAAGATGAGAAATCTTAGGGACAGAAAGCATCCACAACTAGTCCAATGTCCTGGCTCATCTTCTAGAACATTTCATTGAATTCAGCTTTCCTGAATTTTTCACCACACTCCTCATAGCTCTTCGGAAGGAGAGAGATCATTATGTAACCAGGATGGGAGTTGTCATAAATCTTCTTAACTCCAAGGATCCCAAAGCCCTTTTTCTCATCCCATTTTTGTTTAGTTATGGGCAAATCATAGAAGCAAGCAAACTTACAATTTACACTGAGGTAATTTGTTAGTTTGCTTTGACATTTTTCTTATTATAAATATAGATACATTAAAATTCCCAAATGAAGCCATTTTATAGTCATATTATATTCCCAAGAGTCCCTCTTCTTTACTGATATGTGGCTTGGTATAGTCCATCCACCTAGATTGATTTTAGGAAAGAAGGCAGAAACAGTAGATGTTCAAAGTGCTTGGAATGAATTTCACGAGTCAACACAACAGCCCTGGCAAACGGACTTTCATTCAATGTGGTTAAAACTCGTCCTCAATTTCAGTCCATAGCATCTGCTCGGATCATACCATCTCCAGTCAAGACTGTCCTCTACCCTTCTCTAACTCCTTCAAAACACTTTATCTCCACAATCCACAATTGAATCATCTCTCTTCATAATTCTAAAATTATAATCATATGTTTCATTCTGAAGGCTGGCCTGGATCTCTCATTCCAAATTAAATTAATTCTCAAAAGCAAATCTAAATCAGAGATAACCATATGCTCTCATCTCATAACAGGCACGCAAAGCTGTTTCTAGGATGTTATTTTATTATGTAATCATCAGTGATTCCACTTTTAGGGTTTTTCTTGTATTACACTGACTGCAGGAAAATCTAGGTTAGTAAGCATGACATCATCTATAACTCCTGGACAAATTATATCAGTAACACCTGCAGATCATATATAAAACACCAGGACAGAAGCCAGAAAGAGGCCTTGGAGCACAGCCAAACTCCAATCTCAGAGGTCACATCGAGCGCACGTGGAGCAGCGCTGAACTGAGTTTGCATGTGACAGATGGACCTAGAAGGCATTGCCATATCATCAGTCATCATCTCCATCATCCGGAGGTGCCTCCTGGCATATCTAGTGGGGGAAGGGAGAAATTCCAGATTTACCAGAAAGCTATTAGCAGCTCTGCTTATTAAATTAGATTACTATCTTCTTTCTTACTGTTGAACCGTGCACCCCAAATATCACAGCTCCTTCTGTATAGACATGAGGAAAGCCTCTATCAAGTAGAGGGAAGAAACATATAGGAGACTTCTGTGAAAAGGCAAAGTAAAAATAAATAGCTTAGACTAAGAAGCCAAACCATGCAGCCAGGAGGACAAGCAGTGCTCAGAAAGAGATCTTTATTTGAAGAAAAATACAAACTTTTGGAGGTGATTACCTGGCTAGATTCTAATAAGAAATACCACTCTCAGATAGTCCAAAGATTTATCCAGCTCAGTATTTTTTCTTATACAGTGACCTTAAGCAATTTTATCTGGAAGGGTCTGACTGCTATCATTGCCAGCAAACGTAATTTAAAAAAAAAAAATCTAGATGTGTACCTAGATGTCCTTATCCTTTTAACGCGTATAAAGTTATCCTAGAAAATTCTAGCTGATTCCCACAGGGACTTGTCGCTGGTGGGATGGTTCTTTTGCTGCTTGTCCTGCACTCCCAATTGAAAGGACGGTCTGTCCTGGAAGGAGGGATTCTTAATATTTTTGCTGAAGGTGGGTCAGAAAATGGAATAAGGAGCATATCATTCACAGGAGTAAAAAGAAAGCAGAAGCCCAAAATGCCTCCTATTTATCATTACCAGAAAACATCAAGAACCACAGGCCTAATTCCTTTCAGAAAAATCTTAAATTTTCTCACCTCCTCTGCATGTAATTTTGACCTGACTCTGGTTCTTTCCCAATACAGATCCAATAAGGCAGAGGAGAACTCCTTGGCCAATTTTTGGGTGAAAGTCTATAATCAGAAGGATAAGAGTGTTGAAGTTTCAAAAGCTGCTTTTGTCTGGAAATCAAATATTTAAATTCTGCTTCCAGCTAGGCCAGGGAGAGAGAGTTCAGAGGCCCAGGCTCTGTCTGGAGTGGGGAGACTTACAAGGAATTTCTCTCTGCTGAGGTGAGGTCCCAAGGACCTGACTCCTCAGCTTAGGGTAAAGACCTAGATTTGACCCACTTCCTCTCAACCCTGGTGAACTGCAGGGAGAGCTGTCTTGGCGCCACGTGGAGCTGAAGAGGAAACCCAAGGGAAAAGGGCAAGAAGCCGTCCCTGAGAGACTTAGCTTCGGAACAACCGTAGCACAAATCTGGACCTAGGCTATGCCACCCGAGCTATTCCAGGGACCCTGAACTTGGTTTGAGGCAACCCAAATAATAGAACCTCAGGTATCTGACAAATGCAAAGGCAACTTCCCTTTAACTAAACTCACTCGAAAAGAAATAGAAATCTTGAATAGTCCATAATAACAATTTAAAAAATGAGTAGTCATAAATATTTCCTCGAAGAAAACTTAGGCCTACACGTCTTTATTAAAGAATGCTGTGAATATACTATTCAAGAAAGAAACAATTTCCAGTCTTACCCAAACTTTCCCAAAGAATGACAGAACATTGGTAACACAACCAGATAATGACAATACGACACAGAAAATTGACAGGCCAATCTCTCTCATGAACATAGATGCACAAATAAAATAAATACATCAATAAGCAAGTGAAATCCCGTAAAGCCTAAAAAGAATAATACTTCAGTACACAGCTGGTTCCTTCTATAAAATCCAGGAATGCAGAATTTTTCTAACATTTAAAAATCAAACAACATAAATTTACCACACAAATAGAATAAGGGAGGAAACTACTTTATCATCTCAATAAATGCAGATAAAGTATTTGATAAAGTTCAAAGCCTATTTATACTAACACCTCTTAGCCAACTAGGAATAGAAGGCACATATGAGTTGTTTTTACCGTAGTAATGCTCTGTAACAAACCACTGCAGAGCTTGGTGGCTCACAGCACTGATGACAAGTCATTGGGTGAGATACAGCTCCGAGGGGCTCAGCTATGATTGGTTGGACTTCACGGAAGTGATGTATTTAGGTCTGCTCCGTGCATTTTCTCACTCCACTTGAACAAATAGCAGTCCAGGGCATATGTCTCTCACAGTGGATGGCAGAAGGCTGAGAAGACAAGTAAATCATGCAAGCACACTTAAAATATGTGCTTCCATCACATTCACTGACATCCCGTTGGTCAGAGAAAGGTCACATGGCCAAGTCCAATGTCAAGGGATAGGGAAATACATTCAGCATTTACATGGCAGAGTGTGTAAAGATATGGTTCTAACACAGGGAGGAAGTAAAGAATCAGAAACAATGATAAAATATGCTACAGAAGAAAACTTCCTTAATCTGATAAAAAGTAGGTATGAAAACTCTATAGCCAACATCATATCTAATGGTGAAAAGCTGGAAGTTGTCCTTTTGGGATTAGGAATATGAGAAGGTTTCTTACTATCATCACTTCTATGCAACATTGATTCTATGCAGTGAGTTAAGAAATTGTGAAAGGATATAAGAAATTGAAGGAAGAAAACTGTCACTATTTGCAGATGCTAGGATTCAGTATTAGAAAATCCAAAATCATCTACATGTAAACCTCAAAATTAGTAGGTGAAGTTAGCAAGGTCACTGGACATGAAATTTAATAAGCAAAAGTCAGTTGTTTTTCTCTATACCAGCAACAGTTAGAAAAAGTTTTCTAAAAGAATTCATTTACCAAAGCATTAAAAATATCAAGAACAAGGAATAAATCTTACCAAAGGTGTGTAAAGACCGCTAGATGAGAAATTGTAACTAAATGAAAAAGAGATTTACCATGTTCATAATTTGGAGATTTTGAAAAGATGTCAATTCTCCTCAAGCTGATTTATAAATTGAATACAATCCCAGTAAAAATCCTGATGAGCTTGTGTGTGTGTGTATGTGTTGCTTTTTTAACCTGAGAAGATACTTTTAAAATTTATTTAGAAATGCATATAATATGAAAATTCCAAGAATAACAATGAAACTTGAAGAAAAAAGAGCAATGTGGCGAAACCTGTTTTACTGGGTATTGAAAAATATTATAAACCTATAGTAATAAAGACAGCATGATATCAGCAGAGAAATAGACAGATAATGAAACAAAATAGAGAGCCCAGAAAAAGACACAAGAAATATATGTATGCTTGATATATGAGAGAGAGAGATGGCCCCAAGGATCAGTGGGAAAAGATGAACTTCATAATAAATGGTTCCAGGATAAATACCTGTATTGAAAATGCATTTAAATTGAACACTTACCTCATACCACATGCAAACATCAATTTCAGCTGGATAAAAGAGCTAGATATGAAAGGCAAACCTATAAAACTTTTAGAAGAAACTATAAGAGAATTACTTTTCAACCTTGGGCTACAGAAAGATTCTTTCTTTATGTATTTTTACTAAGATAAAATAATTTACCCTAAAAATCACTCTTTTAAAGTGTACAAGTCAGTGATTTTTAATCTATTCACAGTGTTGTGTGACCATCACTACTATCTAATTTTAGAATATTTTCAACTCCCACCCAGATAATCCCCTTTACCCATTGGCTATCGCTCCTTTTCTCTCCCACTTTCAGCCCCTGCCAACCAGTAATCTACTTTCTATTTCTTGGATTTGACTATTCTGGCCATCTCATTTAAAAAAGGCCATACAATATTTGGTCTTTTGTGACTGTCCTGTTTCACTTTGCATAATATTTTCAAGGTTCATCCACATTGTAGCATGTATCATTAATTCATTCCTTATTATGACTAAATAATATTCCATTGTATAAATATACCATATTTTGTTTGTTTATTCCTCAGTGGATGGAGATTTGGGTTGTTTCCACTTTTGGCAAATATCAATAATACTTAACGAACATTCATGTACAAGTTTTTGTGTGGTTCATTTCTCTCCTGTCTTCAATACCTAGCAACGGATTTGTGTCAAATGGTACCTCTATGTGTAACACTTGAAGGAACTTCCAAACTGTTTTCCAACGTGGCTGCACTATTTTACATTCCCACCAGCAATATATGAGGCTCTCACTTTCTTCACAAACCTGTCAACACTTGTTATTGTCTGTCTTTTTAAATTTTAGCCATGTTAGTGATTGTGAAGGGGTATCTCATTGTAGTTTTGATTTGCATTTTTCTAATGACTAATGATGTTGAGCATACTTTCATGTGCTTATTGGTCATTTGTATATCATTTTTGGACAAATGTCTTATTGAAATCCTTTGACCATATTTTTAATTGGATAGTCTTTTTATTGTTGAGTTGTAAGAGTCCTTTACGTATTCTGGATATAAGTTCCTTATCAACCATATAATTTGCAATATTTTCTCCCATTCTTTGAGTTGCCTTTCCACTTTCATGATGGTGTCCTTTGAAGTACAAAAGCTTTTAATTATGATGAAGCCTAATGAATCCTTTTTTTTCTTTTGTCACTTGTGCTTTTGATGTTGTATCTAAGAAACCATTGCCTCATCTAATGTCACAAAAATTTACTGTCACGTTTCTCTTGAGAATCTTATAGTTTTACCTCTTACACTTAGAGCTGTGGTCTATTTTGAGCTTATTTTTGTGTGTGGTTTGAGGTAGGAATTCAAATTCATTCTTTTGAATGCAGATATCTAGTTTCCCAGCACAACTTGTTAAAAAGAGTGTTCTTTCCCCCATTAATTGGTATTGGCACCCTTATTGAAAATAATTGACCATAAATGTAAGGATTTACCTCTGTACTCTCAATTCTATTCCAGTTATCTACATATCTATTTTTATGTCAATACCACACTGTTTCAATTGCTGTAGCTTTGTAGTAAGTTTTGAAATTGGGAAGTGTGAGGTCTCCAACTATGTTCTTCTTTTTCAAGATTGTTTGACTATTTGGGGTCACTTACAATTCCCTATTGATTTTAGGATAAGCTTGTCAATTATTGCTAAAAATGCAACTTAGATTTTGATAGGGATTGCATTGAATATGTAGATCATTTTAGAAAGTATTGCTATCTTAACAATATTAAATCTCTTTATCCATGAACAAGGAATGTCTTTCCATTTATTTATGTCATTTAATTCCTTTTAATAAAGTTTTGTGGTGGTACATATTGTCCTTCTTTTGTTAAATCTATTTCTAAGAATTTTTTTTTTTGGTGCAATTGTGAGTGGAATTTTTTTCTTAATTTAATTTTCAGATTGCTCACTGGTAATGTTAGAAAAACAATTGTTTTTATACATTTATCTTGTATCCTGCAACCTTGCTAAATTCATTTATTAGTTCTATCAGTTTTTTAGTATATTTCTTAGGATTTTCTATACACAAGAGCATCTTATTTGAGTCAAATATACCCAAAAATTAGAGATCACGTTACTTCTTCCTTTCCAATCTGGATCTCTTTCATTTCTTTTTCTTGTCAAATTTCCCCGGCTGGAATCTCCTTTACAGAGTTGAACAGAAGTGTCAAGAAGAGACATCCTTATCTTATTCCTGGTCTCAGAAGAGAAAGCATTCAGCCTTTCACCACTAAGTATGATGTTAGCTACGGGTTTTTATAGATGCCTTTATCAGGTTGAGGACTTCTCCTTTTGTTCCTAGTTTATTGAGGATCTACAGAAAGATTCTTAAAGTAGAAGATTGATCCATTTAGCTACATTAAAATTGAAACTTCTGTTCATCAAAAGACATCATACAAAAAGAGTGAAAAAAGGAATCATGGAGTTGAAGATATTTGAAACACATATTAACTAAAAATTGACTATTTTTCAAAATATATAAGGAACTCATATAGTTCAACCAGAAAAAGGTCGACAGCTAACAGAAAAAATGAGCAAATGACTTGAACAGGTGCTTCACAACGAAAGAAACCCAAATAGCCAGTAACCCAATGAAAAGGTGCTGAACATTAGGAAAATTAAAATAAAAGTCATGATAAGATACCATGACTCACCCATCAAGCTGGGGAAGAATAAACATCTGACAACATTTAAAGTAGGCAACGATAGAAGCATTAGGAACTAATCTACTGGTAGGAGTGTATAAATTGTTATGACAATTTTAGAAAACTGTCATTATCTGGTAAAACTGAATGTATGCAAACAGCATGATCCAGCAATTCCACTCTTACACATATAAACCTTAAAGATCTGTTTGCTTATGTATGCCAAGATTCATGTTTAAAAATGCTCATAGCAATATTGCTCATAATCACCAACTTTTTGAAAGAATCCAGATGCCCACCATTAGTAGAATGGATATATAAAATGTTTTATGTTCTTCTAATGAAATACTGTTGAAATAGATTTGAATAAATTACAGATATGATATGTAGATAAACTTGCAAATGCATATCTAGGAAAAAGCAAATTATAAAATAGCAATTACATATAGTTCAAGAACTCGTGTATATTTTTTAAGGATACATACACAGATGGTAAAAAAAAAAAAAAGTAAACAAATGAAAAAAGGAGTACTAGAAAGTCAGAGTCATAGTTACTCTAAGATGCCTTAAGGTACTTTATAATATCCTGCCTTTTGTCAGAGATAGATGTGTGCAAAAATTAAAGTTTTTCGAAATGGGAATCTTACACTGAAACTCACCACAGAAAACACATCAAACCCAACTGTTCTGTTTGAAGTGGGGTATAGGAAGCCAGGATCATAGTTCACTAAAATCTTTCCCTTGGACATCCTTTCCCCCAACCCAGTAACACCTTCATGAAATCCTAGAACTCCAGGGCATCAACAGTTTGGAAAATACTGTGAAAGACTGTTGGGGCAAGAAAAAACCTTGGATTTTGTCTAATTTAAGCTTCTCATTTTACTAAGAAGGCTTTATGACATGCCCAAGGTCATCCAACTAGTTAGTGGCAGAGTTGGCTTAAAACCCAGATTTGATTTTTAGCAGTATGTTTGTTTTTATGGCTTAGTTTTTCAATGAATGTAGCATTGAGAATCACTCATCTGTAGCTTCAAACATGCCTTCCAGAATTTTTCTTATGGCAACTAGTTCTATCGGCAATGCGTTAGCAATAAACCAAAGCATAGCCTACAATTCATGGGGATGTATGTGTATATATATACATCTATACTATATATCATATATATA